ACACCCAGTGGCTGTCATTTGTATTTCAGTACAGTGTCTATTGTATGCATGTATGGCAAGCCCCAGCTTTTTTTTTTTTTTTATTGGCTTGTGACTATACAATCACCTTCAGATCTACAAGATCTACGGAGCTATATCGTGCATGGGCCGATCTCACTGAATGCAAATTGAATAATTTAGGTAGGTCCTCATATAACATTAATTTTGGTAAATCTAAGATCTTAGATCTTAGAGCACCTAAACCTTGCAGTGCGGGTAGCCCCACTGCAAGAGTAGTTTTGCCCGGAGATGGAATTAAAGAGTGGCGAAGAATTGGAACTCCTGTCAAGCATTTTTTCTGCTATGCCGAGTTCCATTAAGCTCACCACATGTTACAATCTGATTGTACAATCTGCTCTGTCAACAACTATTTAGTGCAAGGTATTGCCTGATTGGATAGAAATTGTTTGGATACATTAGGTAGGTCTTTATTTTACAGTGGTTATGGGCCTCCCCCACTTTGCTAAAGAAAATAATTTTTATTTCTGTATGTGTTGCTGTTGGAGAGTTCACCTCAATTTCATCCTGGTAAAAGGTTGTCAGCAGGACAGGAAGTGAGGGTAATGAGAGTGTTGATTGGCTTGTTATAGGACTTTTTAGGGCAGAGAAAGAAGATAAGGAGAGGAAAGACAGTGAGGTGCAGGAGGTGTATTGCATAGGGAGCAACTGGGTACTCCCTATCCCGTTAGGCCTTAATTCATCCTGAATCACTACATATGGGTACCTCATGGCCAGGGATCACCCCGTATATTGGAGCAGGCAAGCCAGCAAGACAAGTTACATAAGGTAAGGTCTACACACATGTTGGTTCAGGTACTAAAGGTGAAGCTTCTTATGCAAGTGTTGTCTGCTATACCAAATATTTGGAAATAACGTCTATCTTCTGCTAAGTGACTAATATTTGAAGGTAATTCCATCAGCACCCAGATGAATATTCCTTTATTTTAAGGGTCAGTATGAAGAAAGAGTGAGAGAGTCTTTTTATGCAGCAATGGCTGAAATCTGTTGTGTCTGTTCTGTGTCCTTCCTGAGGAATTTGATTGCTGAGTGGGGAACTCATAGCCTGGTCTTTGTGGTGTTTGAGGAACTGTACTGTGGAAGCCCAATGGGGAAGTGGGAACACCAATAAATCTCTGTGTGAGTATGGTAAACTAAGAAACTCTATGGACTTAAATATGGACTGTGGAGGCTGTTCTGGGGAACTTGAGTTCATTCTTGGGACTGGTGCCTGAGAAACAGTAAATTAAGTGATATAGGTAAGTTGTAGTAGTATGCCTTGGGCCTTTTAGGTCTGGATATGTACTGGATCTAGATATCAGACATCCCAACTCTCCCGGACGCTCCGGGAGTCTCCCGCTATTGGATAGCGGCTCCCGGCTGCCCGGGAGAGAAACACTTCCTCCCGGAAAGGTTTATCTGCTCGATCGAGCAGATAAACCTTTCCCTGCGATCGTTTTTTTTTTCTTTTCTGACATCGGGAGCCGCGGCCTGACCGTCAGTCAGAAAA